TTAAATAAGAGTAAAAGAAAAGATAAAAAAGTTTGAAAGATACTTGTTATTTTTTTTTCAAAGCACGTTATTAGAATATTTTCAAAGAATCATCATCAGAATTAAAATGTGCTAATTATAAAATTTTGTGTTGCAAATATAACAAATCATTTTCTTTTCCTTAATTTTTATCTGTAAGTGCAATATATTTATATATTAATGTTTCTTAAGTGCGCCATAATTTAGTTACAATAAATGTCATCTATTTTTGCTCATTTTTTGTACTTACGTTTTCAACCTATTAAGATTAACAATCTTGTCACATATGATAGTTTTCGTCCAAGAAATCTAGGGGGCTTAAAAAGATCATTATATTTAATATAAGCAAAAAAAAAAAAAAAAAAAAAAAGCAAATACAAAAGTTTGAAAAGATATTTACAATTTATTTTAAAGTATATTAACAAAATATTTTGTCAGAAATCACTATTAGGTAATTAAAAAGTTAATGATAAAATACGAGTTAAATAAGGTAAGGGCATAAATTCAAAAATGAACAAATGTTGAAAATCTTTATGGCAATTACAAATGTCATTTTATTTTTAAACGCCGTGATGTGAATATAATTATCATCTTTCAATATATTAACAAAAATGACGTATTTATTTATTTACCCTACAAAATTCTGAACAAGTACACTTGATGTGACTAACAAATTCTTTAACGATTACCATCCACTAGCATAAAAGGCATTATTCCTTCACAAGATGGGAAAATCAAGTTGCTTAAGGGGGACGAAGCTAGAAGAGATTGGAAATTATAGATGATAAAATTGAAAATGATATGTGACTGTATAACCATCGAGCTTTTAAATCAAATGATTTATAATATTGAAATAATAAAGATTATAAACGTAGCCCTCGTTTGGCCCCAATTCTCTTTCTCATATTCTCAATTACACAATTTTCTATAAAATAATATTATATATAAATCAAAAAGTTTTCATTCCTTTTCAACTACATACTTTTCAAAAAAAATACTATTTCGATCATTAAAATTTGGAAAGAATGGAAGCGAGACAAGGACTTAATTTTTTTTATTATTATTAATTTAATAAAATTGTGCACGCATCAAATCGAGAAGAATGTCATTACAGCCGACCCACTACTGGGGTGGAAAATGGCATGATTATTGCTATGGAGAAGTATTTCCACAATTTACTATGCAAGAATCTTGATTTGGAGTCGAAGGCATAATTCCATTCTCACACTGTGAAAAAGTGCAGCTGGTGGAGTTTTCAAAAAAATGGGCAAGAATTCTCTCTGAAGTACACGAGAGGGCCCCACTGCCCACATACTTTGTGGGTAGCACTAGCAGAAGTTAATTTAACAAGTAGTCACTGAAGTTCAACTAAGGTTTCAAATCGACTGTTATAGTATTTTCGTGACCTATTTCGTCACTAAAGTTAAATAACATACGATAACAAGTCAGTTGGCCCGATATTGAATTAAACCATATCGTAAAATTACAGATTTTTAAAATAAAATGAAAATTTTAAGAGGAAACCTCACCACCTTAGTGACCAATTTAAATATTTGCTTGAACTTGAGTGGTTATTGGTGATATTACCCACCAGTGGAGATGTTATGATTTTTGGCAGCTGCTTTTGTTGGATTCAGAGATTTGGTGGAGGTCGGTGTTTATTAATGGGCCTGTTGGGTCGGCTATTGTTGGCTCTAATAGAGACGGGGGAAGTCAAAATAATAAGGCCGAGGGAACCTTTTTGATAAAGCACCGTTTGATCCACATTATTGTAAAAATGAGAATGAAAAATATAGTCGTTATGAACTCTACACAATATATAAAAGTCAAATTTAATGATTTGATATGATAAATAACGATCATATTTTTCATTTTAATAAGGAAATAATGGAGCTCAAACAGGGCCAAAATTAATAAAGTGTTATTTATAGGGGCATTTTTAAGAATGTGTAATTTTAAGGATATGAGTTAAAAAATATCCACTCATTTGAATTTAGTGCCAACTTGTCTATTATGCCATTTATGAAACGTTACATCTTGAAATTGTATTCTCGATATTTGATTTTTTTATCAATTTGTCACGAATTTTGAGAGGTAACTTCCATGAGAAGTTACATTAAAATAATGTTTCTCGACATTTCATATTTCATTTTCGAAATTTGAACACCGTTTCATTTGTCTAGAATAACATTTTATTTTGAACATGACAATTCTCTACATTTCAAAATGTCGTTCTTGACATTTACGAATCAATGAAAAACATGGCATTTATTGTGATTTGACATGTATACCTTTTGAAATAAATATGGCAGGTTATGTCCCAAAACTTCATTGGCTACAATATTACAAAAATATCCATTTTTCTGTCTTGGTGTGGACTTATAAATTGTTAATAAAGGTATTTTGGTCTAAATTCTTCCAAATTAGACATTTTTGCAAATGACTAGGTAAAAATGAACATTTTGTAAAATTTCCTCTTATTTATATTTTAAGCACACATCTTATGTTCATGGATGTGAATAAGGTGCCATCCCGAACCTGCCTCGACTATTTTTTTTATTTTGTTTTTGTAGTTAATAATTGATAAAAATTAAAATTTAAAATAAATAAGTGAATGAAACAAATTTGATTGCAAAGATGGAATTGAATTGCTTAGAAAAGGAATTTCAAGGAATTGAATTGTCTAAATTGTTTTCCTAAGAATTATAAACTATTGTGATTGATTGGTATAATTTTACACGTGAAAAATATTGAAATAAAAGTGTTTTTTGATGTTCATTTGGTTTTGTTTTACATGAAAATTGTCAATTAAATAGATGAAATTTACTGGTATTAGAAATGAAATTTGTTTCCATTGCAAAAATAAAAAATAAAAAAAATTCAAGAAATTCTGCAATCTTTGGGTGTTCGTTTGACTTTGTTTTACATGAAAAATGTCAATTATAGGGAAATATTTTTTTTACAATAATTCTTAGAATTTGTTTCCATTACCAATAAAATAAAAATAAAAAAATAAAAAATTGCTACACTACCCGGGAAAACCAATTCCCACCATTGAAAACATGAAAAATCACACTTTCCAAGATAATCAAGAACTGAAATTCCGTGAAAATAATTGTACTACCAAACAACCAAAAAATAGAAAAAATGGAATTGAAATTTCATTTCTATGTAATTTCATGTTAACAAACACTGCCTAAAATACTTTGCTTCTCGTCCCATTCATTTCCGTCTTTACTCAGAAAAATCTTAAGAAATGAGTAGCTGTAGGGCCACCAAATTTATTGGCTACCTATAAAGCGGCGACTGAAAATGTGACATTAATGCAGTTGCTGGCAGGTACCAAAGAAATGAGTTTGAATTGAATGATGTCAAGTTGAGGTCCATCTGACATCATCATCCTACTACCCCATTTCTTGAAATGAAAATGGTGAAATATGTTTTTTTTTTTTTGAAAAAAATAAGTGATTGAAGAAGAATAAAAAAATTCTAATTTACGTATAATATTATTTTATAAAAGATTATGTAGTTGAAAATAGAAGAGAGAAAAATGAAATATAATGTAATCGATTGCAAAGTTTCAAAAGTGCTTGATGTACAGCATGGTGTAGTCCCCTCACAATAAGAGGCTTATCAATTTATTTTTTTTTATTTTTTTTTCGATGGACTCCCCACATATGAAAGAGCTGTACAAGTAGGGATGGCAACAGAATGGGATGGGGACGAGGCAACTTTTTGCCCTGTTTAATTTTTTTTATTTGTTATTTTTTTTTTCACATTTTCAAAGTTTTGAGTTAGGTTATTATTAGAAAATAAAATATAAATTCAAAATAAATTTTCAACGGGTGAATCGTCTAGAAATAAAATTATTATTATTATTTTTTTTTTCCTTCACACCCCCGCCAACCCATTCGGGGCAAGGCATATTTTTTTGCCATCACAATGTACAATCAGCCTAATTCAATTTTCGGACAGATTTACAATGGAATAAATTAACCTCCCTTACAAAGCTCTAGGGACGGGACCCTGGAGACCCTTAAGGTTGGGGTTCAACCTTTTTTTTTACAATGGAATGAACTAATGCAGCATGCCAACGCTTCAGCCTCCATCTGTCAAGTTTTTATATCATCAATAATAATGTCACATGTACACCATTGTTGATACTCTTTCATATGAATCCATAGAGTCATTGATTTTGAATCTATCTAACAGCACAAATTTCTTCCAACCACTATGTCATGGAAAATATACGACATTACTCCATTAATAAAGAGAAATAGTATGAGCATTTTAAAATTTATTTTTATTGTGTTACACGGTTTCAAGAAGGATCAATCTCATGACTTGGGGATAAAATCTATTAATTTTCGAAGAGTTTTAGAAAAAGTGTAGATTACCGAACTACTTTCACATCGAAAAAGTTTTAATTTTTAGTTTTGAATGTAAATCCTTTTGTTGTATTTTTTTCCCCGAAAAAGAAAAGGGAAAGGTGACAATCAGATCATAATCTCCCGAAATAAAATAATTCATTAATCTTAAGAGTAATAAATAATCCATACCAATTTTAAACACTAATTGGGGGCCACAGCGGAACTCATGGCTTAAGAAGCACCGCAAGGCTCAGAAGAACTCCAAATCAGGTCTCTAATGAGCTGATACTGACAACTTATTTTTCTCTAAGTTTCTTAATTCTTATTGCCAGAAGAGGACCTAAAGAATTCTGTATAGCCTTTTTAGTTGATAAATTATAAGTTGGCAGAAATAAACGGTGAATTAAGTGTGTAATATTAAAGAGTCCCACAAAACATCTTAGGTAATTAGATCACATTTGTGGGCAAAAACTTATCATCTGATGCACCAAACCTGCCAGTATGACAAGATAAATGACAACAATGTGGAAATAATGCATATAATAATTAAAAAAGGGGGGGGGGGGGGTGGAAAAAAAAAAAAGGGGGGAAAAAAAAAAAAAAAGCGGATCGAAACAAAGAAAAGGATGTGAATTTCTGCTCGATTCTGTGATTTTTAACGTTTGAGCTATAACAGATGATGGCAGATCAACTAGTGTCCGAATCAATAAAACATTCACACGTTCAGAACTTCATTACGGAAGAGTGAGACTTGGAGCCTTTCTGATTTTCGGAAGCTTGATGAAACCCCAGAACTTCCTGGACAACGTTACAAAAAATCACTGAAAAGAATCACCTCCTGTATAAAGAATGTAATTAAAGAACAATACAGTTTAAAGTACCATCTCTATCAAATGAAATACAGCAGTTTCATACTATGACCCTCCAGGAAAAGAGAAGGTTTACCCAGTTTCTAACTGGTGCTGCTCCTTATGATGCCACTTCAATTCTCCTACCTTGGTGCTTCCAACTAATGTACTTCTCTATCAACATTGGAACAACATTTAGTTAGAAGCTTAGATATTATTGTAACAAGTCATTAGATAGATCAAAATTTTGGAACTCTTGAGAAATAAAACCAGTGTCGTGCCAGGGAAGAATTTGAAAGAAGATACATCTACTACTTTACCAATTCAAGAAATATTGAACAAGTTACCTCACGACAATTATGCTGCCACCTTTTTTCGACTCTCTAGCTCTTCTTTCCACAACTTCCAACCAATCCGAACTTCTTCCAATTGGGATTCCGGAATGTTTGTGTTAGCATCCAATATTTCTACCCAGTCCTTCCAAGGAGACTTTAAAGGGTCTAAAAACTTGGACAACTGAGGCCGCATTACAGAAAAAAAGAAATCATCAACTGATTCGAGGATTTCTTCTGATTCAACCAACGTCAACATTTCGGGCCTTGTGCCAGGTCGGTTTCTCATGGCAAAAGCGTTCCCCCTCAAAATCAGAACTTCGGATGGAGCAAGTNTTGATGAAATTGTAAAAAACTTACTTGATGCAACATGAATGACTCCCCACAGATGGATATCTCTACATAATTCAGACCAGATAACTGTTCCAATTTTCCACAACAACACTGAAAGATTTTTCTGAAATGCGAAGCACTAAGTCTATCCTTCTCATCAGGTTCATGCAACCAACGAGCAAGCACTGGTAAATTAGAATTCTGTCCCTTCAAATAGTTCCTGTTTTCCCCACTAGTTCCATCAGGGTTGGGCAAAATAGAATCATGTGTACTTTCCCCAAAATCTGTTTCTAAAGCTCCATTAGCCCCATGAATATCTTCTTCATCACTTTCCTCTGACTCAGATCCAGTTCCCACAATGGATGACCCTGCTCTCTTTAAATGACCATTTCGAGAAGGGCTGCTGGAAGGAAGTCGTTTTCTGTATTTAGATCGAATAGTATAATTGTGGAATGGATGTTCTCCCTGCAAAACCACATATTAACATCATATAGTAGATGACAGAGAGATCATTCTCTATTTAAACAATAAAGTAGACAATACTTCATATGAATGCAGTTCATATGATCGTGCATGGTGATATAAATTCCAAGCTCGATAACTTTTTATTAGATTCATATGGATCAATTGCAGAATAAAACCATAAACAAATACCAATTTTGTAGATAATAAATGACCTTTAAATAAATTAGTTTCATGGAACTCGAGAAGAAAGAACATAATCGCAGAAATCAATCACTCAGCAGCCTCAAAACATAAGGCAGTTAATGCAAAAATATAAACCTGATCGAAGTATAATTAGAAACTATACTGCTTAAAACTGATCTTGCAAGCACTGAAACATACCTCAAAAGTATTCAATATATCATTGAAATCAGATATATGACTATCCACTTCACTAGCAGTAAAATTGTCTTTAACTCCAATAACCTCCACAGGAAGAAGATATGAATATTTGCGGATATTACATTCCCTTCTAGCATCAAAACTCCTGGTAATCGCGTGACCAAATGTAAAATGATTAAAATAGAGAATAGAAATGTATGAAAGTTACATTAAAAAATCATGTGATTTGGGATGACTCGAATAGAGAAGCTGTTATTGTTTATGTGTCTTGTTTATGATGGAAGATCTCAGCCAACTTTGCTATTTAGAAATAATGAACAAGGGAAACAAAAAAAATAATAATAATAAATAAATAAATAAATAAATATATATATATATATA